CCCCCCCCCCATCCCCCTCCCTCCCTTCTGCGGAAAAGGGGGGGGGGGCTTGAACTCCATGCTGTCCAATTAAGAGGGTGAACAAAAAGTACCAAGGGGGACAACTTAGGCTTTCTGACAAATTGCATGAATTTTGGAGGGGAGTAACAGAAATTTTACATCTTAGTAACCCCAGGCTGTATATTGCTATGCATGTATGGATTAACACATACCTCCACTTCACAGAGACTACAGTAGAACATGCCATCTTCGCTAATTTGTTGCTCAGAAGATTCCTCATGTGAACTCGAGCATTTCCACAGGAAAGCACAAGGGAAGAAAGCCAACAGGGGCAAAAAACAAGATTTCTGGTGAGATGATGCATTCTTATCAATTTCAGTAGTATGACCATCTGATTTTGCATCCATGTCTTTCATGCCTTGTGGAATAGGTTTCCCTTCAGTTGTTGCAGCATTTGCATCATGTATTGACGATGTTGAGTCCCCACCTAGTTTAGATTCCTTGAGTCGGATATCCTTTTTGTCTTCTGGAATATTAAGATACTTTTTGGACTTAAAGACACCTGCATCTGCTGGATCAGCTGCCGCACACCAAATATACAGGCCAAAGGCACATACAATCTGAGAAGAAATGATATGTCAATGATGTACCATTCAGAAAATAGCAGCACTCAGGATGGGAAAGAATTTGTTAATACAAACATGGAGAGGGGAGGATAAGTTTGTGTCAATCGCTCACCTTCTTTATGAAACAACATTACCTGTTTTATTCTTGGCCTCTAGATGGAACAAAGGTATGGTAAGTATTTCATTACCTAGGCCTATACAATACACTCAATTTTGGGGACAGTAAATGAAGCCTATTCCTAAATGGTGTGACTGAATTAAGTACTACGTGCATAAAATGAATATAAATTTTCAAAGGCAAAGAGTTGAAGATCCCAGAATAGACTTTCCAAACAAAATTCTCTCTAAGTCCATGTCACTGTGTTGTTGAGTGAATTTTCAGCTGGATACAGTACTCAACAATGGTCAGAAAAAGGCACCCAACATGATTATGCATTGTGGTAGGCAAAAATTACTTACTACAAAATACTTGCAACTAGAGCTTCCATTTTGTTCCCCTGGGGTTCTAGAGTTCAACTTCAAGTGATTCAAGTGAACAACAATACAAGCCCATAAGTTTGTAATACAGCCAATATCCATCACTACACAGTTCAATTCAACTTTCTCTTCTTACATTTCAAGGTATGCCTTGTATGGAAAACAGGTTTTATGATAGAAGCTCAAATTTAATATTTTGTTCAGACGTCCATTTTTTGGATCAATCTCCTATAAAAATTAAAAAAAAAAGGATAAAGTTGCTACAAACACCTCCAAATACTCTGAAAAAACAGTTGGCATAGTCACATAACTCGAACCAAGTAGATTGTAGAATACAGATCAATTTCCGAAGCCCACACAATATTGTTTGACCAATGTTTCCAATAATCCTGATCGAGAAATATCAAATGCTCCTAGATATCAGCTCAATTACTAATATACAAATCACACTCTATTGGGAAACTCTAGGCCCTGTAACTTTTGTTCAACTACAACAGTGTACCATAAGAATTAAGGATTGCATAAGATCACATCATAATTTTGTCCGATTGCAGTTTACACACCTATTGGTTTCTTGAATATTCAGACAAGATATCAACTATTATTACTGACAGAAACTGTCGAGAGCGATCTCAATTCCTTTCAAAATAACCCTTCATTGTCAACATTAAATTTGAATTTCTCCAATGAAAAGAGAAAAGCTACACTTCTTGAAGAAAGCTACAAAAGGAGCATCGAGTATGAAACAACATATTAGCTTTCTGTCATCAGAGTGCAATAAATGTCCAGAAAACAGCTATACAGAGGGGGTAATGGCTGTCCTGAATTAATATATCTCTGAAAAATCTTATTGACTTGGGTATATAGGATTTTAAACAAGCAGCATAGAGATCCAATCATTTTAATATCTCAACACTAAAGGCATGGAGGTATGATCCACCAACACTGTCAACTCTAACCCAAAGATTAAAACCAAGCTCATGACTTTCCCCATACAAGGGACAAAAACCAATTTTTCGGAGGATGACTGGAAATTTGGAGAGTGAAATTAGTGGTTCCAAGGGTTTGCAACAAAAAGCTAAAAGACAAGCAACCCATTTGCCATTATCTGCTAAAGTGACAGATTCCTGACTAACTTGAATAATCTCTTAAGTTTAACGAAGGGAGAAAAAAATAAATAAAAGCCCAGATCAGGAAAGAATCCCATTTTAGAGAAAAGAAAATAGCTGGTGGTATAAAATCCAACTCAATCAGAAGTGTAGAAACAAAACCATATCAGAAACCCAACAAGCAGAGACAGATCAGATCTCAGTTCTTCAGCCCAGTAACAAAACATATAATACATTTAAAAATATAGGGAAAATGTGGAATGCCTTACCAGAGGAGTATAAATCCCCATCACGATATATTGAAACATTTTTCTCCCAACAAAAGGGGCAAAGAACACATAGAAAGCAAACCCCAATGCCAGAAATACAGCAACAGCTACCACCTGTACAGAGCAAATTAAAATTGGAAATAGAACCTACACATATGTAAAACTTACCTAGAAATATAGAGAGAAAAGAGATGAAGGGAAAGGGAGGGAGACCTGGAGAGGATGGTAGGGAAGTTGCCATCCATGCTTCCTCATTTTCTGAATGTATGTTACAGCATGGAAAAAAATTGCAAGAAATGTATGAAGCAAGAGCACTTGGTTCACCTTCTATTTTCTTTTTATGAAAGTTCTTCTCTCACTTTCCCTCATTTTCAGGGCAAAGATTGCGATCACTGATTCATTGTAGCAGCAACCAAACAATTCTTGCATGCCCATTAGCCATTATCTTTTCCGAAAAAAAAAAAAAAAAAAGGAAACAAAAGGTATCAAAAAGAGCTCAAGGTGTGAGAAAAGAAATGATGGTAATGGGTTGTGGAGGGAGGAGGGTATGGACAATGGGTAGGAGCTTTGTCTGGTTCAGTCAATCATGGTCCACCTAGAGAGAGAGAGAGCTGAAATGGGGTTTTTCTTGTTTCTTGCAAAGCATTTTACAGGNTGCTTGACTGGTTTTGCTTTCCAAGCCTTTAATTACCTTGCAACCTGCCTTTACTTTTTTCCCTTGTTTCTAGCATTATCTTTTTCCATGGACAAATCATGTGTCACAGGTCAGTGCAACAGGCCAACAGCCAGTTGTTTGCTGCTCTTTTTGTAATTGCTAACAACCCCCTTTAAAGCCTTTAAATGCCTCTTGTACTCCTTTTGTCATCCTCTCTCTCTCTCTCATCCACCATTTTTTGTTTTTTTTATCCCTGATAGGCAGTTAGGGGTGGATGACCCATATGTGGACTTGATTTTTCAAATTTTCATTAGCAATATTACAGTCACCAACTTTCCAAATTTATGTAAAGTTTTATATTAGTAGATGTCATCAAATCTCATTAACATTGAATACTTATGATTGTATTGTATTATTTGACAAGAAATTTGATGTGAAATTTCAATCCACCAGAAACAATTTGATAGAATGAACCAATTAGTGAAGAATCGATGAAATCTAATTCTACACATCTTGCTTGGTCATATAAAACTCAAGATCTAAATTATTGTCATCAGTTCAAATAGTATACAATTGGGGCAATTTTTGAAATAATAAAATTCTCAATCCATAAGTTCTCACCCATTTAAACTCTTTTAGAGGTGATGTTTAGAATTTGACCTATTGGCCTTCATGGGTTTTTGTGCTATGCTTTGAAGTTGAGTAAGTAGTTGAATTTCTATACTTTATTCTGTATTTATCTTTAATAAAAAAAGNGTGATGTTTAGAATTTGACCTATTGGCCTTCATGGGTTTTTGTGCTATGCTTTGAAGTTGAGTAAGTAGTTGAATTTTTATACTTAATTCTGTATTTATCTTTAATTAAAAAAAAGAAAAGAAAAGAAAATGTATTTGGAAATTGGAAGCACTAGACAAGAGACCTAACCAATATAAAATCTTGCTCATTTTTTCAATTCTTACTCTTATTAAAACAGTGGTGGTTGATGCCAGAATTATATAAATTCTGATCTAAGAACCAAGCCATGTGTCTTGTATCTGTGCCTATAACCATTGAATAATAAATAGGTTTGAGACTGTTTTTTCCTTGCAGAAAACATCAATTAGCAACTTGAATATTTATCCCTTACTTACTTTTCCCTCTCCCAAAATATTACATCATCCATTTCTATTATATGTTCAATTAATTAATATTTAATTAATTTATAATTTAATAAAATTTTTGTTACGGACATTGTCCATATACTATAGTATACACATATTGAAAAAATATTGTCAAATTAATATTTTGAAAAAAATTTGTCGATATTTTTAAGAAAATAATAGATAAAAATTAATTTTAAATGACATAATAAAAAAAAGAAAGGAAAGAAAAAAATTTATTTAATATAATTGAATCAATTTTTTGGGACTCGAATTTTACGTTTTATCCAAGTACGAGTTATAACTAGTCCCTTCATAAAACCCCATGTAACTCTTTATTGGGATGTTTTGCAAGAACTTAAAACCTCTTTAAAATCAAAAAAACAAAATTATTATTTGTTTCTTAGAATTATACAAAGTCTCTCTCTCTCTCTCTCTCTCTCTCTCTCTCTCTCTCTCTCTCTCTCTCTGCGCGCNTGAATGTTCCTTGGAGAGAAGACCTAGAGTTTTTTGAAACCCCCACTCTAGGGCTCTCTAGATCCTTCTATAAGGCGGGCCGTGACATATCGGTGCCTATTGACAATTCCTGAGCTTGAATTGGCTCGTACTTCGTAGTTTCCGCTCATTCTGTCTTCCCGGCCTGACGAGCCATGAATTCTTTTACATAGGAATTGCTCGAGGAGAAGCCACAGTGCAACAGCAGTTGAGTCGGCATTTTATGAGATTGTTGACCCCTCAAAAACCATTTGGCATAGGGAAAGCAGTGGTTTCCAGCCATTATAGAGATTTATCCTACGATTTCAATGTATATTGTGAAAGTGTTTCAAGTTTACATTCTAATTTTACTAACAATAATCTCATGTCTGAAAACACTCTATAATAGTAAAAATTTAGCCAAAAATTGTTTTTTAGAATGACTTTTGTAATATTAGATGATGATTGAATTAATCTCAACCATTGTTATGCTTTTATGTATGTACAATTCTAAATAACATTGGTCTATAATTTTAATACTCAAAATAGATGTTTTGGTATTGCTTAAACATGGTTCTCTTAACGGAAGAATGTCGTGTCAGCTCTCGAATATGAACTAAACCAGCCAGAAATAGTAGATTAAACATTCTGAAATAAACTTATCAACATTGTCAAAGTCTACCAATGAAGAAGAAAATCAGTGACAACATAGAATGATCAGAAATCAATAGGGATTGCCAGAGCCTCTCTCTCTCTCTCTCTCTCTCTGTTGAATCTACCTTCTTCCAGAGGGCATTTTAGAAACTGGAAAGAACCCATTAATACCCCCAACATATCATGAAGAGAGGTTACAAGAAAAAAGCTATTATGGATTTTCTGTAGCACTGCCCAGAAACCCACAGATAGACAACAGAGGTTATGTGTGCATAAACAGAAGCAAAGCTTGCCATCTGCAAGGAAGCTCAAGTAAAAAATGTCTCTTTGTAGAACTTCACAGCCCTTGTGGTTATCATCAGTCTTCACCAAGCAACCTTGATCCAATATGTTAAATGTCATGAACCAATGAAATCAGCCCCCACCAGTTGATGCTCAATCGATCCTTGTACAAAATCTACGCCAACAAATGAAAAAATCTTGGGCAATTTACTCCTTGCTGAAGTATATGAATGCTGTAAAGTTCAGTTGTTCAAAGTTTTCTGCTTTTGGCTTGGCTAGACGAGGATAATGCCTTCAATCTAGCAACCCTCTCATCCTGGTCAGAGCGGAAGAGAAGGTTACTCCAGTTTGTTGACCTCTGGACAGTCCTAGATGGAACTTGGTCACTATCTTCCCCACCAGACGCTTCATATCCATCGCTAGTTGACCTTGACAGTGGGATGCCCTTCTGAGCAGCCATACCAGCAGCTGATAACCCGGTGAGTCTTCGTGCCTCTTCAGCTCCTGATGAGGAGACTCGGAATGGGTGAAGATCAGGAGAGTCTAAACTGCTTTCAGGAGAAGAAGAAGCAACAATTCCAGCTGAGCTGGACATAGCTCGGCTAGTTCGGAAAGCACTCCGTGCTTCGAGCTGAAGAGGTGCTAAACTGGTTGATGTCTCGATAATCATATCATTTCCGTTGTTTTCACTGGCTTCACTTGAAACTTTGGTCAGGGGTTCAAGTGGTAGCTCAGCAGGGAAGCCAACCCGCTTACTGGATCGCCTTCTGTTATTATCAGGCCTTGGGATCATTCGGTGTCCACTGCTGCCGAAGGTATCACCCATTGCAAGCCCATAAGGGACTTCTCGTCTGGCAACAGGCTGCAGGATTTTGGACTTTTTTCTTGCTTCTGCAGCAGCTTTTGAAACCTCCTCTGGATTCAATCGTGCCAATGCCCATGGACTGATTTTTACAGCTGCAGGGTTCTTTTTCTTGATAGGCTCATCCACCGTGGTCTTTTTTCCTCTTGAACTAACAGATCCAGTGTCTGGAGGAACTACATCAAACTGCAACAAAACCAGATATTGCAGCAAAATTAACACCAAAACCAACAATTTTAACTTATTGTTGCAGAAGTTGAGATTAGAACTAGAGTTTTCAAGAACATCTAGAGTTTGTGTTTCAAGTTTCAACCACCACTGAAAATATTTTCCTATGGCCAACACGTTTGACTCNGAACTAGAGTTTTCAAGAACATCTAGAGTTTGTGTTTCAAGTTTCAACCACCACTGAAAATATTTTCCTATGGCCAACACGTTTGACTCAGTATTTATGATGATATGTTACCATCGATGCACCAGAAAACTGAGGTGTTTGGCAAAATAATGGCAGAACTTCGTGACAGCAAGATCAGCTAGCACCTCCCTCCTGGACCTACCGTATCATGACCTCCCAAAACCCTTGCAGTGACATGTAAAGGCAAACCATTATCATCTCTATGGCACTTGTGTTGCGCGGGTTAAACTATCCTTCAACATAACCTTATCATAGATCTTTCAAATTACAGGTGAATTCTAAAAAGTTTAAACTGGAATAAGCGTACGTCAGACAAACCAACCTAGACCACCTTCAGATATTATAAACCAGAATCAAAATGCATCTGTTTTGGGGAACAACCAAACCATGTATTTTCAAGGCAATGATGAAATGTGCTTGAAAAGCAGAGCGACTTCTTCAAAAAGAAAAACACGCCAACTACTACTGGTCAGCTTATAATTTTGATCCATAACACAGAATAACCATATACCTGATCTTCAAGAAACAGGCGTGGAGGTGTACACCATGATCCTCTATGGAAAGTATTAAAAGAGCTTGCACTGCTTAAACCAGTAAGAGAGCTAGCGGGTGACATCTGGGGACTTTGCTGACCTCCAACTCCTTGTTCTTGCTCCCTCAAAGCTATGATGTAATCATATGTGCTAATTCCCTGCCATTCAAGTGTAGATATTGTTAGCTTTTTGACAAATCATTTGCTTTAATTTTAGTGATGTTTTTAGCTGGCCAGGAACCACTTCAAATGTTAAGAGGACTTAGGTGCAAGCAGTATTCTTTGGGGCCAAACCCATGATTTTACCCTGGGAATTGTTTTTTACATGCGGGATCAGGGAATTGCGAGAGACCAAAAGGATGAATTGGAGGTTTAAATTTATTCACTACTCCTAAATGAAACAAAAATTAAAAAGATGCCAAAGAAAAACTCTATCAAAAGAATAAGTGAAGTGAAATTCAATAAGAAAAAATTCGTCAAGGAAAAGGAAATTACATGTAGCAGTTGATGGTATCCAAGCTTACCTTCTTTATGAGAAGAACATGAAAGAAGAAAAGTTGAGCAAGTGGTAGGGTTGCAATCATGGCCAATATGGTGCACACTGCCTGTCACATGTAAAATCGTATAATGTTAGCTATGAGGGCAGAAAAAAACTATAGTGACAAATGACTTGATTATCGATGTGCTCTTGTTAAGTCAACAAAAGCTTCACAAGGTTGACCAGCATACGAAACCTGTCGAAAAAAGTTGAACAGCTGAGGAAACAACATCCAATCTAAAAGGATAAGAAATTGAGTAAACCACTCACCACCACGATAACAAAGGGCACCAGAGAGAAACTGCTTCCTAACTTGGAGGTGATGTCCATAGAGTATCTCTTGCGCTCAAGAAAACAGCATATCAATACTAGGATTCCAATTGACCACTGAAGTATAAGCTGCAATCACAAGTCCAAGGTGCACAAACCATGTATAGACCTGTCAATAATCAAATAAATGGAAAAAGGACTTGAAAATAAAATGCCTACTCTTTGCTGTGATCTTCAGGTTCTGGCACGTCTTTATTCAGAAGCAAATATATTGGACAGTTGAAGAAGAGCTATAAAGCTTTCAGGAATCATGAATAGGCCTTGGAAGCCAATGTTGATGACAAAACTCAACAGCATAAGAGAAGAAACCATAAGAATTGTAAGAGATGACGGGATTGCAGTAACTGCTTTGGAAGATGGCATATATGTAGTCATCCTTGAGGAATGAAGATTAAAGTAGGAGCTTATGCAAGTGGTGGTGTGTATACACCATAGAAGAAATTTTGGACATTGCATCAAAAATTCAACCAAACTCGAGGAAAGGCACACAACTAACAAGAATGCATTCGAAATATGCCAGTCCAATCGGAAGCTTACAAGGAAAATGATGAAGGCCTGTTCTTACCAGGAGAAGGGCAGAAACCATGAGGGTGAAAAACTTTCTATAGTTCCTTTTGCCTATACAATTGTTGAGCCACTGCAAAAAACCAGAATGAGATAAGGCATTAAAGGTCTTGTCAAAAAATAAAGATAACTTCCACCAAATCCAGATCCTTAAATACCCTGCAGTGATGATCAAAACAGTCAACACATTTGTCACAAACTCTGCAATGCTTGCTGTACTTGAACACCTGCAAGATGGCAATCATTTGATCGTCATAATCTGCGCGTCTGATCTTAGGATTATGTAGCTCTATTCCGCATTTGGAGACATACAGTCCATGTGACATGCAATCAGGTTTCCTTTTGGTGGAATATTCTTGATGGAATCCATTAAATGGCACAGAGGATGCTTCTGAATGTTATGCCATGGAAATCATAATACCACCTTTATCTTAGAATACAACAAGCATTTGTGACTACTATTTCAATA